GCTCGGTACCATTTGATCCACGGACCGGTACCGGTACCGGTCCGCGGCCCGAGGGTTGGGGACCACTGTTATAAAGCACCGGTTCCAGGGCTCCCAGGATGGCCTGCATGGCTGGCACTGATTTCAGGTCTGCAGTCACTTTAGTAAGTTGAAATTCTCTTGAATTTACATTATCTCTTATTTTGTATTTTTAAGTGACATATTTTTAGGACTTCTTATGGTTTGCTGGGTTGCTTTAGAAGAGGGTCACATTTTTTACAGCAGCCAGCAGGATTTTAAAAGATGAGAAATTTTAAAAAAGGGGAAAAACAGCAACACCAACATTTATTAATTAATATTTAATAAATAATAATAAATGTTTAATTAGAGTTATTATCGTATTAGTATCACCTCTAATTTTATAAATAAATAAACCTCCTACATTATATAGAGATTTAGGGGCGTGGATTACATTTTTCAATTCAGTAAAATATTTTCAAAATGTTCAAGGCCCCTACCATAACCTAACCATTTTGGGGGGGGTTTTAGAACTAATTCTAAAATGTTTGCAGTTTTGCATTTATATGTTCATTAAATAGGGATATTTCATTTAAAAAAAAGTAACAACAGGTAAAAAAACTGACACAATATCTGTAATAATGGGGATACCAAATTTAGGGCTCAAAATATAAATTATTAGAGGGGGAATTCAGTAATAAATACAGCAGGAAAAATATTGCAAATTGAAGTTGAACATCTACAATTTGGAGCTTGATAAATGTGCCCTTAGGCTATAAATATACAGACATTATTGTAGTACGAAGCCAGGCAAAGCGTGAATGCGTTTTCCGTTGCAGCCAGCAGGTGGCAGTGAAGGCACAGTAGAAGCTCCATGGAGAACTGTTGGGTTCTAATCATACACAGGAATTTTACTAATTAAAATATTGATTAAGCAGAGCCCAGAGGCCCCTCACCTTCCAGCTATATATAGCTGATGCTTTGGCTCTGCACAGGACAAATTCTTTCTCATGAAGCTTAAACTGTTCCCCGGACAATAACCACCTTATTCTTGAGCTCTAGGAAGAGAAGTTTGCTTTTTTTTTTAAGGTGCTCAACGCTTTTTTTCTTTTAACACACTGATATAACACCATGTGCCCGATCCACTATCATATATGTGTATATGATCATACCGCACAGATAAACAAAATGGTGTGGTTATGAAATGTATCATTCATACGCAGGCGTACATTGTATATGCGCAAAATGGGGTTGATTTACTAAAGGCAGTTAGGATATTTACTTTGCAAGGGAATTTGCGCACTGCAGGGGAAGTTTCCCTTAGCTTGGTGAATGTGGTGACATCTCACTTTGCAAAGAATACCAAATCATGTGCAAGGTAAATAAAAAAAAAAAAAAACATATTTTTACTTGCACATGATTGGATGATGGAAGTCAGCAGACCCTCACCTCATTGACTAAGCTAAGGGAAACTTCCCCTGCCAAGTGAAAATTCCCTTGCAAAGTGACCAGCCTATTTGCCTTAAGTAAATCAACCTCCAATGTGTTAACAAGGCTTTTGCTATAGAATGTTTGCTCTCTGTGGTTTTTGGGTTCACCTAAACACTGTAAGCATTATAATTAGGCTTACCATATGTCCTGTTCTAAATGGGACAGTGCCATTATTTCTTTATTTTTCCCCCCCTGTCCCATTGTTTCTTCTATAAAAATCAATTTTGTCCCGTTATCCTTCTTAGGAGTGCGCTCTGAGTGTGTGCGCCTCCTTAATGAGACCGGCCAGGCACATTAATATCAATGTTAAGACGACCACAACTGCAGCTGGCCATAAATTCTACATGCGTGCGGCCATTCGGTCTCATTAAGGAGGCGCACAGAGCGCACGCCTAAGAAGTCTCCGCCGGCGCTCACTCTTCCTCCGTGGCAGCACTGACTGGGAAGAAGTTAGTAATTGTGCCATGGAGTGTTAAAAGACCGAAATGTGCTGCGTAAGATTACTTCATCGGAAAAATATTCATGGTACAATCGTGGTGAAATACAGTCCCCCTCTACATCTACCTAAATTTGTATGAGTTCTGTCACTGAAGAATAATTGTTGATAGTTGAGATGTGCATTTGGATTCGGAAAAACTGCCAAATCAATGAATTTCTGTCAATTCCGCAGTTTACCCGAACATACAAATTACTATATATTTGGGCAAATGGTAATTTGTTGTATAGGCCACACCGTCTTGGTGCATCTGGTGTCACGTAAGAAGACACACCACCCTCTTGGGTGTACCAAGATGGCGGCGCCCGTTGTTTATATACACGCGTGCAGGCGTATGGACACACCGGTGGTCAATATAGCCGCACACATTTTTTTTTTCCAATGTTCAGTTTCCGATTCGAAAGCTCGTTGCCTCCAAATCCAAAAGAGCATAATAATTCATTCTGTCCAAAATGTTATGCTTCACACATCTACTATATTGTCATAAAACTTTTGTTATCATCTTACTTTTTCATGAATATTAATGTGCTCCATACAGGAAAAAAACTGCATCAAGTGCGCACAGCTATTGTTAAAGGAGGGTGTAAAAAAACGCATGCAAATTTTGATAGCCTTTCTATCCAGAGGGCAGCAGATGTTGTCAGAAGGTGACAATCTAATGATCTAAAATCACTGTTAAGGAGTCTGATGTCACTGAGGTGAGGTGAGGTGAGGTGAGGCCCGTAGTTGAGCATTAAACAAAAACAATTTTTGGAAAGAAAACATTTGATTGCATAGGGTATATTTGGCACACATGGCACTTCATAATTCAGCGCTATTAAAATTAATTTTCTATTTTCATTTGCAGCCAGCTATAAATTTTTACAACTGCCAAAAAATGTCAACGTCACCTCCTTGTGTTCTTCACTGCATATAAAACAAAACCACATCTCCTCCCTGTGTGATTTGTTCAGTGGTTTTCCCAAAAGTCTGCATGGAGCTTTAAGGTTAAGTATCTGGTATTTCAGTACTGTCCTTAGGTTTGCTGCAGCATGCCGGTTGTATTTGGTGACATCCTGCCCACGGGTATTGCACGTCTACGAAGATGCCAAAAGACAGGTTTCCTCTTTTTACAATGCTGGAAACGTTCCTGTTGTTACAGAAAAATGCTCTTACACCAAGCAGTCTGCTAAGGAAATGACTAAAATGAATTTTCTCAGTGATTTGTAGAACAGATACAGGTAAGAAGTTCTACTGAAGGGTTGCAATAATCACCTCCTCCCCAGTGCTGTGTCCTGCAATAATAGTTATTAGAGATGAATGATGCCCAGTATCTCAGGAAGACTGAGGCCATACTGTGAGTGCTGGGTGTCATGGACCTGCCTCCAACGGCTGATGTAATCATGTCAGCACCGCTCTCTGCATCAACGAGAACCCCCACTGCTAGGTAAAGATCCTAAGAGAACTTGCCTGAAGACACTTAGAAAAGGTAAGAGGGGGGAGTCCTGAGGGAGTTTAGAGTTGAGCTTTAAGTTTACCAAAATTCTCCCAATGTATATAGCTAGCTCAGAGAGCTTAGAGAGTATTGCTTT